CCCGAGCCTACAATCCCAACCTCAAGGCAAGTAACCAGCCGATACCGGTCTCCCCGCCGAGGAAGGAATCAGCATCCAAGGTTGCAACAAGTGCGATTTATCATCATCGAGGGCACAGGAACAAGAAAAGAGAAAGGACAGACAAAAGAGGTGGTCCCCTCAGAGCAGATTGAAGCGAACCCGAGCCTGCAACCCCACCCAAGGCATGGCACCAGCCGGAGCCGGTTGCTTCACCAGGGGGCAGAATCAGCGTCCAAGGCTGCACGCAAATCCGAGCCTACAATCCCACCACTCAAGATAAGGAACCGGCCGCGGCCAGTCACCTCATCAGGGGGCAGAATCAGCATCCAAGATTGCAAGCAAGCCCGAGCCTACAATCCCACCACGCAAGGTAAGCAACCAGTCGGAACCGGTCGCCTCGCCAGAGGGTAGAATCAGCGTCCAAGGTTGCAACAAGAAGTGAGTTTCATCATCGGGGTACAGGAGAAAAGGAATAACAGAAGAAAAACAGAAGAAAAACAAAGAGAAAACAAAGGAAAAACAAAGGAAAAACAAAAGGAAAAGAGCCAGCAACCCACGAACTAGGCAAGCCTCCTCAGATCTGAAGCAAGTATGTTCAGTGGCTGCCATTCGCAAAGCGAAGAGCAGCATTTGAACTTCATATGCTCGACGGCAAAAACTGCATCAGTGCAACCTAGAATTTGCAACGAGAGGCAGTAGAAGCCAATATCATCATTGGGAATGTGTGTGAAAGGAAAAGGAAAAGCCAACAACCCACAAACTAGGCACGCCTCCTCAGATCAAGCAAAGGTGCACCTTTGCAAGTAGGTCAGTACTGTGTCAAAGCAGCCTAGATTCTGCAATGAGAGACAGTAAAGCCAACATCATCATTGGGAATGGTCAAGAAAAAGAGTGGAGAGGGCAGAGAAGATAGGGGAGGGCGGAGGTGAGAAGGGGGAACCAGGCAGGCCTCCTCAGATCCAGCAAGGTTGGTGTTACCATTGCAAGAAGGTCGATACTGCATCAAAGCAACCTGGAATTTGCAGTGAAGGGCAGTAAAGACCAACATCATCATTGGGACTGGTCAAGAAAAAGAGTGTGTGGGTTGGAAACACTGAAGTTCAGCGCTTTCAGAAAGGGTTCCAAAGATTGAAAACATCTCGACTCTCTCCATCCACGCTCGATGAGTGAGGACTTCACAGAAGGACGAGATGAGAAAAGGAAGGGGGCTACAAAGACTGGGAAGAGATGAGTGGCGAGGATGTGAAGCTGGTCGTCTGGTTTTTCAACGAAGACGTCGCCTGCTCCCAGAGCCTCGAGACCCGGTGTACTCTGCGTCCGTCTAGGTTGGAAGGTAATCGACACTGGTGTTGGCCAGCGAGGGTACATAGCGCCAGCCTACCCGGACGCAGAGTTGAGAGAGGAAGAAGGAAATGGAGGAAGGGTTGGGGAAGAGAAGAGAGAAGGGAGAGAGAGGAAGGAAGGAAGGAAGAGGAAGGAGGGAGGGGGAGGGGGTATTTATGTTTTTCAAAAGAGAGAGAAGTGTGATCTGGGCGGCTGGAATCACCACCAGTGAATGTTCAACAACCTCATATGAAACACATGATATCAAAAAGAAGGGTCAAGCAACGATCTGGTTGGCCGGTAAGCGAGCGGCTGCCTGGAGCTTCTCAAGTGAATATAGCATATTTCAGAGAATCAAATAGAAGAAGGATCCAAGAACAGACATGACATACATGACCGGTGGTAGGGGGCCGGGGGGTGTACTTCGCTTGTTAGCAGTAGGTTATGGAAAGAGGTAGGCCTCGAGCGATGCACAAACCAATCCACCTATACCAAAAAATTTCTATGCCGCGAGAAGGAACGTAGTATTTGTAGTGTAGTGCCTACTTGAGGTGTCTTCTCTTGTTTCTCCAAAGGGAGCCAAAAAGAGTAGTATGATATGGCTATAAAGTCGAGAGCAAGTTCCAACAGCGTTCCAAAGCCTACAGCCAGATTTGTCTACACAACGAAGCCTCAGAACCTGAACACCATGCCCACATTCAGGAAGGCAAGAGATCACCCTTTCCCTCGTTATCATTGCAAGCAACGCAAGCCATGCCAACCTCTTCTATAGGTGCTCTGGTCAGGCAAAGAACCTGAGCAACGCACGTCCACCGCCAAGGAAACGAGATACACGCGCCCTGGCAGCTCTCTCTCGAGGACTCTCCATCTACTCTGATGCTAGCTATAACGAATTCAGCACCTGAAAGTTGATAAGCATTGCCAGCTTTGATACGCATCGAGAGAGCTAACTTGTACGTGGCCACAGTGTCAAAACACCTCGCGAGGCCCAGATCGCAAATCTGCCGAAACGAACAAGCCACTCCCACAAACGTCACACACTGAACAACATTGCGCCGACCGCAAGAACCCATCCAATCAAATGAGAAGCAGACTTGATTGAAAAGAGAAAGCGAAGGTGGGAGCCCAAGCTACACGCTTCTGCAGACTGATTTCCCTCGCGATATCCGAATCGCAGATCCACCGAACCAACGAACCGCGCCTCTACACCACCACAAACCAAGCGCCCCTGCGTCGACCGCAGGAAACAACCTCGCCGAGCAGAGATCTCAGTCATGAGCATATGAAGCAAGCAAGTCTAGAAGGCTACACGTTCCTGAAAGCTTGTTCGATTGCTGATCCGTCCATGTATACTCCAGAACGAACCTCGAGATAAAGTTGTGGCATCAGGGACCAGCCCCCGATCCGACCCGCCGGACAGGGCAAGCTCATCCGCCAGCCGGCTTGGCTTGCATCAGCCAGCCAGCATCCTTCCATCCACCGACCGACCGCCCATTGCGAATCGCATGCACCGGCGCCCGAATCCCGATACTCATAGTATAGTACAGTGCAATACAACTCATCCTCATAATTCTATGCAGCTAACACGCACAGCAAGGGACAGGATCAACCTGAGGACCGCGACCGAACGAATCCCTACCCACGCAGACGATGTCGGCAATCCACCGTCCGGTTGGAAAGCACCCCCCAACCTTCCACAATCGCTACGACTGAGTAACCAGTAGCTAGTAAGTCCCAAAAGAAACGAGGCGAAGCACACAACCCAGCCACAAAGAGAACCAAAAGCGTCGAAGCGATCAAACCATTCTCCATCCCCGGAATCCCAAACTCCCCATGTTTACTTCTACGGCGCAAATCCACAAACGAACACCTGACTCGCGCAAAACTCTGGTGCCTGAACAAGCACAAGAAGAATGTCCAGCGCAGATAAAAATAGAACCGCATACCCCCGATGCACGAGCCGCACAGCAAATCAGATGCTTTTTCCCGCCCCCTCGGCGGTGCTGCACTACCAGTAACTTAAGTGATTAGATCTATGTCCGAGCTCTAACCCGGTTTTGACTGAAATCTTCGGCGATAAAGGTATGTAGTCTACACCACCACACAGTATGAAAAACCTGAACCCTAGACGACCTACGCTAACTACACAAGTAGAAAACTCCGCTCAAGTGGAGGGAGGTCCTGGTTGGAATCAGTCCACGCTCCAGAAAAAAAAAAGTGGGGATCGGCACTGCAGCACTGCAGCAAAAGAGGCAGTGTTCGGAGATACTTGGTTTGGATACTTTTCCCACTGTGCCAAAGTGACAGGGATTCTCTCTCTGCCGCTATGATTGCAATGCAAGTTTGGCCAAGCGAGGTACGTTGGCCTACATCCATCCATCCCCTTTCAAAGAAATCTGGGCAGCCATAAGTATGACACAATACTCTTCCCCCTACCCCTCTCGAACTCCGTCTGCATGAAAATCTGATCAACTACGGCAACTATCACCGTACCGGTAGTTCCGACGGACTCTCCACCATTAAAGGGCGGCCGCTACCAGCAAAGGGGAGAGGGTCTCGGCAAATTACAAACCACCCATCGAAACTACAGATCAAAATTCAGGAAAAAGAAAGCCACAGAATGCTAGACTAGACTATAATAGCGACGAATTATCCCCGAAAGTATCTTAGTTGAACCCTGCAGTAGGAGATTTAGGCTGTCATATTTCTCTGCCGTTTCTTTGCATTCTGCTGGAGGCTTGGAGCTAATACTTAACCTCTGGCTGTCCCCGCTTCGGACCTAAGGGTGATTGTCTGACTGACTCGATGGGATTGCTGGACACCTAATCCAAACACCGAGACTTCAAAAACAACAAATTAATGTCCCAATGATTGGATCCGCGACCCAGAGAAATTGATTCCATTTCGTGAGCCATCGCCTGGATTTCACGAACTGACTGGACTTCCAAATATGAAAGCCGTGTCAGTATTCTTATACCTGCTATGCCTGGTATCTCCGCCCGTCGCGGCTGACTCGGATTCCAATACCAACTGTGAGTTTCGCGCCGGTCATCACTCTCTATAGTCTATGCTCTATGCTCTATGCTCTATCCTCTATCCTCTATCGTGATCGCACTAGACATACACTCCATCAAGATCGAGTGCTCACAGGTGAAATGAAAAGGTACCTCCAGCACAACAATAACTTCGCAGGCCGATGCCGATAACCGTCTCTCCTCCTGCTCCACCATCCACGGCACCTTGACCATCTCCCCATCCGTCACCGGCACCATCACCCTCAAACAGCTTGAGACGCTCAACGCAGGTCTAACCATCCAAAATGTCTCCGCGCTGACGGCTTTCTCCGCGGCGAATCTCGAAACCGTCAACGGACAGTTTTCCATCAAGAATAATGCTCAGTTGAGCACCCTGACGTTGTCAAATTTTCAAACGGTCAGCGGAGAGCTGGATGTCGAGGACAACTCCCAGCTCAGAGATTTGGTGTTGGATGATTTGCAGTATGTGAACGGAGCGTTGGTCCTGAGTGGGAAATTTGATCGGTGAGTGTCCCTATTTTATTTCCCTGGTTCGCATCGCGTTCAAGATAGGTTGGACCATAGATTGCAATCGGAGCGGGGCTGACTCTCACAATGCAAAAGGATATCATTTAGCGATCTCAAGCATGTTAACGGCAAGACGAATATCCGGTCGCGCGGTGGATCATTTCGCTGCTCGAGTTTGGATTCCCTCCGGAGTCAGGATGATGACGACGATGACGACGACGACCACAACAATAACAGCAACAGCAATGGCGTGTTCAGGGGATCTTATAGCTGCTCTGACGGCTCCAGCAGCGGGCTAAGTTCGGGAGCAAAAGCGGGCATTGCGATCGGCGTGATCGTGCTTGTTCTGCTGATTTTCCTCTTAGTATGGGTATTGATGCGTCGGAACCGATCACGGCGCAAACGACGGAACGCGGCCCAAGACGAGGGCAAATCTGGATACGCGGCTGTTGGAGTAGGGTTGTCGCATGATCGCATGATCTCAAATATGGAGGAGAAACTGAAACCTCGAGTGTCGGAACCGCATGAGCCCGAACAGACGATCAATCTGAATAATATCCCACGGAAACCACTCTCGCCGCCTCCACCATCGTTGTCGACCGACGCAGGTCGCACAATTTCAACAATCTCGCCATCTTCTCCCCCGGTACCGGCTGCTTTGATTCCCGGCACAGAAAGCTCGTCCAGCTCTGTTCCGACGTCTGATGACCAAAACGCGTTGTTCCTGCATGCCATCCCCCGACGGAGGCCATCTGAAACGGACGTCCCGTTATTGGATAGTGGGAACGTGCATGAAGTACCGGCCAGTCCGGTCGCGCATAGAGGATTGTATGAGTTGGACGCTGGGCCTGTGCGAGGGACGCACCAGCAACCAATTAACCACGAGTAATCAACTCATTGTCGCGTATGACGGCGCGTGACGAAGCATGATTGACGAGACTTCCGGAAACTGTTGGTCAGCACGACCCAACAAATATACCCTGAGATAGCGAACATAACGAAACAGCAGTCCATCATCTAACTGTACAATTAGATTGCAATTGAGAAATCGTAGCCAGACCGACTTGGGGTAACCTGAAATGTCCCCAATCATGATAGTATACATCATGCATTAAACGCTTAGAACCAGATTCATCCATTATGATTAGAACGACGGCCCCATTGTGGAGCCCGGGTTCGCTCGCACTGCCTGCAGTGTCTCGCCCGAGGCCAGCGGCCCACACCATCCGTACGCGTCGCACCGGCATTGTTCGTATCGAGGACAACTAAATTTCAGGTTAGTCCCTCTGCGCCGCTGCAATCAATCCACTATCGCGCCCGCGCGACCGTCACTCACTATATCTCATCCATGCCGAAGATGATGTGCCAAATCTTCTCGTATACCCATCCCACGCCAAAGCTGTCTGTTAATTCCGTCTCGTCGGCCCACCGCAACATGCGCTCGTAGTCCGATCGGGGTCGTTCAAGGATCCGCTGGCGGCTGACAGCGAATTGGCCACAGCAGACATTGCCAATGTGCTCCGGAACCTTCTTCGCAGGGACATTGAGAAGCGTCTGGTAGACCTGGGGAAAGAATGCGCGAATATCGTCGTTCTCGATATCGATCTGCGTGGGACTCCACGGGTGGACACTCGTCGGGCAGCCGGGGTCGTGCTCGCAGCGCAGATTGACATAGCCTTGCGCGTCGACGGCCTCTAAGCGGAGGTTTCGCAGTGCCGGTCCAGTGTGGGGGCCGAAAAGGTCATTGTGCCATTGATCGTAGTTAGAGTGGATGAAGATCGTGTATTTCGGTAATTGGTTGTAGAACTCGACGATGAAGGAGAGGTAGGCGGTAGCCTCGCGACCGCGGATGGTGTAAGGAACTAGGAGGTTTGGCGCGGGTTCGACGTCGGTGCTGTAGATGAATGGGATTGTTCCGCTGCGGGAGGATTGCCGACGTCAGCCAAATAAACACAAAGCACAATGAAGGTTCGTGATCCCGGAAGTGGCGCGCCATACTGGTCGTTGCAGTAATCCAAAAGCCAAGTTAAGTCCTCCGCCCGCGTCGCAGCCAATACTAAGCCAATCTCGCTGGTCGCATTGTCGTACGTCTTGGTGATTTCGGATAACTGCTCGTGAATCGGGTTGAAGTATTCTTCTACTGTGGTGGTTGATTTGCGTGCGGTTAACCTGGTGTTCCGGAGAAAGAGGCTGGGGCGGAGGCAGGTCCGAACGATGACATACCTGGTTGAGGGTCGTAAGAATCACCGCCGCAGATGAGCCATGAGAGAACGGAGGTGACCAGCAGCGCCAAAATTCCGAGAGCGGCGGTGCGGCGGGCAGGCCAGCGAAACAGCCGCCTCTTCGACATTGAGGAAAGGGCAGGGGAGAGGGGGAGGGGATTCACCTCTCGCGAGGTTTGAAGGCGAGCGACCGCAAGGACGGACAGGGATTCAAGAGACAGGGAGATAAGGAGAGGAGAGGAGAGGAGAGGAGAGGAGGAAAGGGGAGCGGGAAGAAGAAGGGGAGGAGAAGAAGAAGGGAAAGGAAAGAACAGCCGACGGACGACCAGATGGATTCCCTTGTCTTGTTCAGCACAATCGAATTATAACTAAACTACTGCGTAATTGTTAGTTAAGGTAATGAAGTCAATGGCAGCGGGCATTTTGCAAGCCCACAGGACAAATCAAGACGAATAATAACGAGAGCAGTGGGAGAGGCTCAGGCCGGACCTGGAAGTGCAGCAGTGCTGCTAGACGGTGCTAGACTCATAAAGGGCACAAACAACACCCCAAGAACCCCAATTCAGTCCCAATTCAGTACGCCATGGCACTTTTCCACGTAAGGGGCATGGGACACTAAACTGCAACTGGTCAAAATCAGTCAGTCCCGGGCCACTCAATCGCCAGGATCTGGATTCCGGTGGGACTCGCCAAGTTCTCGCCCCATGGCTGGCCACTTCGGCACTATTCCGGCTTGGACCATATCATCTGCATGCGATTGTAAGTTATTCCACTCCAGTCTGGAGGTCCAGCCTCCGCGAACGGGCGCATTATGGGTGATAGCCCAACGGAGAGAGAGTCCATTGCTATTTTAGTCTCCCTCGAATGACTTCAATACAAGCTTTCACAGGTATCGTCTGTCGGTCGAAGCGCCACTGTCTTCCAATTCTGCCCGCCAAGAACCCACTCGTCATGAGTGTACGTCACCCTGCAAAACCACCGACATGAATAATTGACGGGTCAATTGGCGACCACCCTGTTTGTATGGCCATGCATGCCACATCCCGCATAGATTTTGTCGGTATTGAGCACGGCGCACAGTATGATCGGCAGCATGCAGGTGATGATTCCCGCCGTCAATCTCCGCCGACGTACGGAGTACACAACACTATGTTTATCGGCTATCTCGTGCAAACCGTCCTCACATGCTGCTTTCGTCCACCGCCAGAGTCAACATTCCGCGCCACCCTGTTTGTTGACCGCGTACACGCGTCTTCCAGCAGCGACACGTCTCTGCTCCAGAGGTGACGATTTTTGTCCAGAAAAATTGACTTTACTGTGAACTTATGGATGTGTATGGAGTACGCCCTTGGTCCAAGCCTACTCGGGAAGTTGACAGCTTACTGGTGGGGCAGATCAACTCAAAGCTTGGAGGGAATATCCTTGCTTGCATTCCTGACTACACTAGCCTCACCCAACGAAAAGGTCCATCATGGCTACACTTATGAAATGAGCCATGAAGCCGTGTCGGAGGGACCCGTGCTCTCCCATGCGCTTCCCCATCAGCGGCTTCGACATTGTCCCTCCATCGGAAGTGCTTGAGGAGAAGCGATTCGAGCATTTGGACAGAAATGATATCATCCTATTAATATTGGCGACGTGCCCAATGTCAAGTATCAGATAATTAGTAAAATAGAGATTGGGACTATCTTAATGGTATGGCTCGCTGGTGATCTGGGGTAAGTTCGGGTAGTTCTACCTATGCGAGCTATACGCTGCCTCACCCTCCCAACCAGTGGTCATCAATATATGCCAGTCACTCAAGATCTACTCAGTGAGGTCGTGTACGATTGTCAGTGGAGTCTTGACCAATAAGTTCGAATCTGCCGTTTTTATTTAATTCTGTGAGTCTCATTTGCCAAAGGGCCTCAGATCATCTCTGTAAGCCTACATAATTCTTTACAGCTCAGACCTGAGAATGACAAGATGGGGAAGACAGGCAGCAACATCTCTCTCCCCGTCGGCGCCCCTTTCTACACGCTTAAGCAACTGTAAGCCAACAGCCATAGCAAAGATCTTCATCCTAGCTCTTTGCGAATCTCGCTTCCATCGGTTTTTCAATCTAAACTTTCTTCGGCTCAACTCGAGTGCTACCTTGAGGCAGCTCCGCTATCACACGACCCCATTCATCAACAGTATTCTGAACCGGAAAAGACGCCACATAGGTCAGGGGCTGGGTGTGGGCACCGCAGACGACTTTGCAGGATCTAGGAAGCTCGCCCGTTAGCCATCACGTATACTTTAGTTCGTATGGATCTAGCTTCGTCATAAGCTTAATACTGAAAACCCTGGGCCTCTCCACCAAGGGAAATCAGCCAATATCTCATAAGCTCTTGTTCTTTGGACGCACCTTCCCTCTTTCTCTCTTTCCGCTTCACAGTACTTACACGGGTAATCTGAGTAAAAGCCAGGAGGCCGTCCACAGCAGAAGCAAAGACCCTATTAACGGCAAAGAAAGGAGCAGTGCCAGCTCCCAAGCAAGGCTGTCGTCGTGCCACATGATGAATAGAAGATTCTTGCAGAAATAAGGAATCTCGAGACGGACAAGTGCTGTTTACTGATTATAGAGTCTGGCTAGAAGTACAGCTACTATCTATTAATATTAATAATCTATATAGAGCTTTTTTAAAAGCAAAAGTTTTATATATAAAAATATTAGAATATCTTATTCTATTAGAGCCCGGCCGCGGGCTTTGATTAATAAGAAATATAAAAGAATGAATAAAAAATAAATGATAAACAGAATATAGAAAAGAAACAGAATATAAAAGATATAGAGAATAGAAAAGATAGATAGAATAGAAAAATGAAAAATATAAAGAAAATAGAAAAGATAGAAAAGGTAGAAAAGATAGCTAGACTGGCACTATGACACATCTTGGGGCTTTTATCGTGAACTCGTGGAGGCGTATGCCCCTAGTCCAGGCCTACTCGGGAGGCTGACAGGTTATAGGTGGGGCAAATTGAGTTGGTCGGAAGATTAAGAAAGGATGAATAAGGCAGATATCATCGCAAGGCTTAAGCTTTCTCGTTCTTTATGTTCTCGATCCGCAAAGCGCGCTACCTAGTAGACCTCCTAGCTTTTCAGTTGTCGTTTCTCAGTCATTGTAGGCACATGGAAATGGAATGCCTTTGTTTTAAGCCTAGTACTGAGATTTTCGAGGACTATGGCCTTTCCTACGCGCAGACGGTAAGAACACATCGAATACAACCCTCAAAACATCCGATCTCAGAAACACTTCCTGCCCAATAGGACGTACACTGATCAACGCCTATCTTCTCCTTTCCTAGTTGTGCCGCTCCCATCGTCATATATATGACAGACCTTCCGGCCTTTTTCGCCAGAGATCTCTGCACTGATGACCCATGCCTTATCCTCGCGGTTGAAATGGGATTGGTGTACGGATTTTTCATCTTGATGCCTGGTTCCGAGTTGACACAAGGCAACAAACATGACCCTTTCACATACCTAATATTGACTCTTTTCAGCTTGCCAAGCCTCTGTAATTTTCCTTCATCAGCAGACGGAATTCAGACTTTCTGACGTGAACATACTGCTTCGGCTCATCCCCCAGGGCTGGTAAATTTCTCCACAGCGGTTCGCCATTTGTCCGGTAATTTGTACCTGTCAAACCCGGTCCAGCGCAAAAGAGCCCGGAGCGGATGTGCTAAAGAGGCGAGACATTTTGTAGTTACTCTTTATCAGAAGGATGAATGTAGGGGTAGCAGAGACACAAAGGCAGGTGACATCAGCGCCTCAAACTATGGAAGTATGAGAGGGATGGGTCAGCATGTCATCCTCCTCAGAAGCTAGGTTATATTTATACCCATCACTTCCGATCTGATCAGGACTTGAATCATCCGACAGCCATTCATGAAGCAGAATGTTTGCTGCTTTTGCATCAATAGGCACCCTTAGGTACTACACCTCTCGCAATGACTGGTTTCACCCAGTGCCTAGACACTTAGCTGTCGAATCGTTCGCCTGGCATGTTTATCGAGCAATCAAATAGCCGGTTGTCACTGGTGTAGCAAGGCTGGCTCATCAGACTCAATTCAGCCTCGGCGGCTAGGAGATAAGCTCGCTGTCATCTAAGCGGTAGCTTAGTTTAGCGATTTGCGCTTTGATAGTCCTGTGAGGGAAAGTGATAGGTAGCCTTCTGCACAAGTTGTGTACTGTACAGTGCAAGCGCCTGGGTAGGCGCCAGCCGCCAGTACGATGAGTCAGCATTCTCGCACGTAGTCAATCAACGCTCTTCTCGTTGCATCTCATCGTCTGCATTCCTCAATCTTCCTATCTTACTTCAATGGAGGTCAGCTTCTTCTATTTATACCATGCACCATGGCCAATCTCATGAAATGGGCCATGAAAACACTTCGGAGGGCACCCTCTCCACCTATTTGTTTCCCCACTGGCGGCTTCGAAACCGTTCGTCCCTCGGAGGTGCTTGAAGAACTGTTCGTAAAGCTCAAACAAGAAAAACACTACCCTACTAATATTGGCGATGTGCTTCATGCCAAATATCAGATCATTGGTAGACTTGGATTCGGAACTACTTCAACCGTATGGCTTGCTCGTGACCTGAGTAAGTGCGGGCAGATCCACTTGCTTAAACCAAACACCGACCCACTAACACAACCAGAGGCCATCAATATGTGACGCTCAAAATCTACACACGTGACGAAGATAATGAGGAAGAATTCCAGATCTATAAGCAACTGAATCAGAGGAGATCATGACACCCTGGTCATGCTCATATACGAAAAGCACTGGATATCTTCACAATTCCACGTTCAGGCGGTGACCATCCATGTCTCGTTCAGAAGCCGATGTGGGAAAGTTTCCGAGACTTCCTTTATCGCAACCCCACTCACTCATCGATTCACTGAAGATCTGCTTAAAGCCGGTCTTTTGCAGATCTTCCAGGCACTGGACTACCTGCACACGGAATGCAAGCTTGTCCACACTGGTAATGTGTTTGTATGGCTTCATCTCAAGGCATCGTCCTAATTCATGCTCGAATAGACATAAAAAGCGACAACATTCTTCAAGAGATAGAGGACAAGTCTATTCTGCAAAGCTTTACCCAAGCCGAGTTGACAAACCCTTCACCTCGCAAGATCGTCAACGGTCTTCCCGTCTATGCTTCACGACGTTTCTGTTTGCCGAAGGTGTTCGGCCGGGCAGTGCTGAGTGATTTCGGCTCAGCCGTACGAGGAGATGAGAAGCGGAATCACGATGCACAGCCTAATGTTTATAGATCTCCGGAAGTGATGCTCAAGACTGATTGGAGTTATCCGGTGGATACATGAAATGTTGGGGCTATGGTATGCTCCACTTGCTCTCTTATGGTCTCATGCACTCACCAGTCGGGGATAATAGGTGTGGGATTTGTTTGAGGGGAGACATCTGTTTTGCGGAGATGACCCTGACGGCAAGGGATACTCGACGCGGGCGCATCTTCCAGAGGTCATGGGTCTTCTGGGGCCGCCTCCTTTGGATATGCTCAAACGTGGGAAACGAAGCCATGAATTCTTCCTTGACGATGGTAAACATTATCTTCTCCTTTCACCCATTTGCAAAGCTTCTCTGATAATCGTCAATGCAGGTCAATGGAAGCAAGACATAGTGAAATTTTAATTATTTATATTTTTTAAAAATAGGATTTTTTTTAGATTTTTTTTAGAATATTTTATAATAATAATATTGGACGCAAGACATAGTGATTCCGACGGGTGTCAGTTTGGAGCAGTCGGAAGAGTTCCTTGAGGGAAAGAATAAAGAGATATTCTTGGATTTCATGAGAGGGATGCTCCAGTGGTGGCCTGAGGATAGGAAGACAGCGAAGGAACTACTCCAGGATCCGTGGTTAAATGATTAGATAGAATAGCATGTCTGCAGCGCTCATTTCAATCTCCTGGGATCTTCTCCATTCACTAACTTTGGCTCTCTGAAAGCACGTAGTTAATAATCTCGAAAAGGAATCTTACTCGGCCGGTACTTGAAGCAGCCCCAAAGCAGATGGTGCTACGGGAGACACACATTGAGGAAAAAATTGTATCGAGGCTGTGAGCAGGAGCATAGGAGTAGTTTTGGCTCGTGAACACCCAAGTGCCGTTGAGCTGCTCAATCAAAGGTAGAGTTCAGTCTATCAAAGTATCCACTTTCCCACAGACTATGCAACTTTCATGCGTGCAGGCAGACTAAGAGGAGATTCAGCTTCGCATATTCCTCTACAATACCCAACATCCGACCCCAGCTGGGCAACATCTTCGAAGACACGTTTTACAGGTCTTGCTGCCATACATTCTAAATATGTTAAGTACACGCAAGAGAACTGACGTCGTTGCAGGTTTCTTTAGTAGCTCATGATACAAATGGAAGCAAGTCACTGTGAATTTGAAACATAGGCTACCAGGTGAATGTCAGATCAAACTTGATAACACTGCAAAGTGAGTTTGCCCCTCAGGCCACCTACAGACCTAAGTAAAAGTCTGGTTCCTGGCTTCCTCTCCTCCCGTTTCTTCTCATCTTCCCCACTTGTCCCTGAGCTTACCCTCTTGTCATATTAAGGAGAACTCCGGAGATAGATCAAGGCGAAAATGTAAGTTTTTTCTCCTTGAAAATCGATGAACACTCCTCTCATAAAGGTCTAGCACAAGTAACCAGCAAGATCCGCCTGAACGGACCATAGATTGTGGCTAATATGCGTATTCTGTTTCCCTTGCGCGAGCTTGTTCAAATTCTGCCTTCATCGAGCGTGAGTACGGTTCGCGCAGTAAGCCGGTAAGATTTCTGCTAGTGCACAGCCCGTATCTTTCCAGCTGATTGCCTCGGACAGACGAGCTGCACCCTGGTGCTTCAAGATGATCGCCGGGTGGTCGAATACATGGTCAAATATTTGCCCTGGGGAGAGTCTTACAGGTACCACGGCAAGCAGCCATTCGACGACATAATGTTCAAGAAGCGCAAGCTGGCAACCAAAATCCGCATGGACACCCAAAGCACGAACATGGGCACTCAGTCGAAGAGTCCTGCGCCTTCTACCGGTCGAGATCTGTCCTTCGTGGTTATTCCTTTCTTTATTCAGCTCTATGCACTGGCCACGCACCTCGAGGCCGACGGTCTCAGGGGAATCTGCAAAGGTGTTATCATGAGGGCACTCAGTGTTGACATGGACAGAGCCTCGCTGATGCGCGCAATCAAGGAAGTGTATACTCGCTTCGATGAGACTGACCAGATGCTGCAAGATATGGTTGTGGCAGTTGTCCGGAACAACCTGTCTCTCTTGCAAGCGCATACAGGCGAGGGAGGGCGTAAGTCGACCTTGAAGGATGTTCTTGATGCTACTGCCTCTTTCTGTCGTGATCTGAGTCTGGAGTTGTCGAATGCTCCGCCGCAGCATGATAAAAACGACGCCATTGACAATGATGATGATGAGGATGATGGAGATAATGGAGGTGATGGAGAAGGCGATGGCAACTATGGAGATGATCTCAATGGCGAAGATTGGACCCCATGACGGCAATGAGAGGATGGGAAAAGCTTCCAATGACTTTTGTCACGGCATGGGGAAGTACATTTGAATATCTTGTTCTCGAAATGATCCTTCATGAATCTGCTGGTAATCAGTGATGTATTGCATCTAAATGGCTAATCAAACTCTTGCGCATCTGAGATCTTGAATCCTGGATTCTGCATGCACGGCTAAGTTCCAATTGGCGTCTACCGGTACTTTCGAGATATGCGACACATAGAAATAAGCATGTCTATGGCATGTTCGCAAGATCTAGTCTATTTGACTTCATCATGAATGAAGCATAATATTCTAAGTGCTGTTATAACATGAGTCTCGATGGGAATCCAGACCCGCACTGCTTTTTCTTTGCTATTTCAGAACGCTGACCTTCGCCATCACGAAACTCTTCTTCCTCCTTCAACCCCTCCAGATAGACTATCATCAGCCCAACACTATGCAACACCGTCATAAATAGGCTTCGATTCCAATCTCGGCCACTGGCATATAACTTCCAAGCACCAACAGACCCTCAAATCGACCATGATTGCGGGGAAGCAAGTGGGGAAGCGCGTGCTATCTCCCCGCGGCCCGCACATTCCTTTCCCACCTGAAGTGGGGGAGGACGACAAGCATCAGGCTGGACAACAAACAAACCACTTACTGGCCAACGACCTGCATTTCTTTCCCCCATCTTTGCCCCTGTACTTCTACCCCCCAGCCTGTACATAAAGGTAAGCAGTCCACCGCCAACAACCTCACACTCAAGGTCCTTGAAAACACCAACATGTCTCCAGCAAGACAAGATTACGAGATCGCCGACGACGTCCCCGTCCTGATCATCGGAGGCGGCCCGTGCGGTCTACTCCAGGCATACTTACTTGCTCAGTTGGGAGGTACCTTTCTATCTTTCCCCCTTTCCCGACACTCAGTCATTTGCAGGAAGAACACAAGGTTGAAATAACTCCCATCTACAAAGTTAAATCCTTGCTCTGCGAACGCTACCCAATACGGCTCGACGCTCCAAAAGCCCACGCCTTATCACCAAGGACACTCGAGCTATGTCGCCAGTTCGGCCTCGATGTGAACGAGATCCGTGGATTGGGCACCGGGCGCCAGGATGCATTTTGGGTGAACTTCGTGACACATCTGAGTGGGCAGCAGGTGGGGCGGTTGCCTTATGAGCGAATGGATCCGGGGGTGCTGGACGATACGCCTACGGTATTCCCGGCTTCAGCAAGCACATGCTCGAGGAATCAAACAAGCTAATTGCTGAAGGCTAGATGATCCACAACATTCCGCAGCCGGACTTTGAAGACTACGTGCGGAAGCAGTTGATGAAGAGCCCGCTGGTGGAGATGCGCAAGAATCATTCATTTGTTGGGCTTGAGGATGTGAGTTGTCTCTATCCCTCGGATTGTGCTTAAATCCTGAAAGGCTACATGCTGAAACTTGACAAGTTTAGGGATTACGTCATCGCAACCATCGAGGATCGTGCTGCGCAGCGAGAATACCATGTCAAGTGCAAGCACCTGGTCGCTTGTGATGGGGCAAAGAGCGCTGTTCGACGGTTTCTGGGGTTGGATAGTGAGGGAGAGGACTCTTGTTTGTGAAGTTTCCCCTTTGAGGGCCTGACACTGACGCATGACATCTAGACGAGACGATGATGACCATCCATATAAACGCTAACCTCTACCCTGTCGTTAAAGGCAAGGTGGGCATGCTTCACTGGGTGATGGATCCTGAGGTATCCGGCTTCATCATCGGGTATGACCTCGGGGGGAATCAGGTGCTGATCTGCAATTTTGATGTACATCCGAATACCCTTCGTGGCTGCGATCAAGAGGCTTCACTGACGAACCTAGTCCCAAAAACACCCAGTAGAGTCCTGGAACGAGTCCCTCTGCCGCAAGACCGTCGACGCCGCCATAGGCACACACATCCCCTACAACGTGCTGAGCTACCGACCCTGGATTCTGAGCCGGAAGGTAGCCAAAGCCTATCGCATAAACCGCGTACTTCTGTCAGTAACCTCCGAACCTGCTCACCCCCAGAACAACCCCGCTTACCCCACGACAGAGCTGGCGACGCCGCTCACTCCTTCCCCCCAACCGGCGGCCTAGGCCTGAACAGCGGCCTGGGCGACGTCCACAACCTCGCCTTCAAACTCGCCGCCATCCACCACGGCCATGCCAGCCCCTCCCTTCTCGACACCTACGAGTCCGAGCGCCGCCCCGTCGCGCTCGTCAACGCCGCCCAAAGCGTCAGAAACGGCCAACAGATCTTCAGCCTCCTGAAAACGCTGGGCGCCACCGACCCAGACGTGCACGTCGCGCGCGAGAACCTATACCACACCGTCGCCGACCCCGAGCGCGCCGGCGCGGTGCACGAAGGCATCGAAGGCCAGCGCGAACATTTCGACAACCTGGGTTTGCACATCGGATATGTGTACGGGGAGACCCAGGTTCCCGGCTGCGCTTCCGTCTACCAGGCGAAATGTGTGCCGGGGGCGCGGATCCCACACGCATGGATCGAGCCTTCGACGGCTGTTATTGGTCGGCTGGTGGGGCCCATTGATTCATCGTATGTTGGGGAGTTGTCGATGGAGGAAGTGGGGCGTAAGCGGTTCTCGGCATTGGATCTGTGTGCTTTCGATGCGTTTACGCTGTTCGTGGATGGGGAGTTCGCCGATACTTGGAGGGGCGTGCTTGAGGAGGCTGCGGACAGGTTTCCGCCAGGACTGAGGGTTGATTTGGTCGCGAGGGGCAGGGATTTCGATCTTCAGCCCGGTGAGGCAGGCGAGAAGTGGTTGGGGCTGATGCAGCTGGTGCTGGGTCGGGCGGTGTTGGTCCGTCCGGACCAACATATCCTGACAGTGTTTCATGGCCGTCCGAATGATTTGATGGAGGTAGTAGACGTGCTGAGGAAGTATCTCGCTTGGTAGGTATGCATGTAGAGCATTTGATCTGGAAAGATGCCGCTGCTGGACTGATTAAAGCATAGACTCTCGTGACTGCCTCTCTATACAGCATCTTCTCCTGCAGACATCAGTCTTTTATGTCTTGTTGCTGGCAGATCCTTTGTCTTCAATTGTACAGCGCCACTACACCACCTGGCTGGCCTTTGGAGAGCTCAATTGGAGCTTGATGTTTGTCATTGGGTTTACATCATATACCACCACACCACTTTTGCATGTACCGTTCCAAGCCAACCATCCTATATTAATTAACAAATCCAGCAGCATGCCATCCGAACGACCGTCAAAGCTCAGGGAATATTCCTCGCAAGACAACCAGACTGGCAAACAGCATCTACTTCAACACTAGAGTACCATAATGATAAATTACCACCTCGTCATAGAGCTG